TGTTGCAGCAGCTGTCCGGGTGGCTGCATGCTCCTTAAGACTTGCAACATCTGTGGCATAGCGCTGTGTGATGGAACTGCACATTTTGAGCGGCCTTTTAAACAAAAACAAAAGTGTTGCGTTTATAATTTTGTTCAGTATACTTACTACTGCAACCCAGTATTCTGGTATCATCTGTAACACTGCAGTAACAGCAGCTAGAGGGCTCCCTCGAACAAGAGAAGAAGCATGGAGGGAGAAAGACCCCAAACCGTTTTAAGCTTGTTAAAAAATTTCATTACACACCTAGAAGATACTTTTCTTGTTTCATTTGTCATGGGGTGAAATTGATTTGTGTTATATCTTATAAATCAAAGACTTAAGATACTAGAGACACCGTGAGAGACTATCACAACAATATTCTTACACACGTAGAGCTGGTGATAACGCTCTTTGAGTTCATGCACCCTCCTTGCTTCTCCTCTTTGTCCTTCTTTTCTAGAAGGAGAAAAAAACAAACACATTAGCAGATGTGTTAGATACGTCTCAAAGACAGTGTTTATAAAAATAAAACATTAACAAGTCATTAGGCCTTTCTACATCCACCACACAGCACAATATGGAGTCTGAAAAACACTTTATGAATCTTATTCTTTCTTTTTTCTTCTACATTGTGAAAATAAAGGTGTTATGAGCACCAATATGCTCGTAGCGCAAATATTTTTGACAGTAAGACTCTGTTAGTAGGACTCATGATTAATATGGGGCACTTCACAGTAAAATGCCAAGCACTCAGCACTCTTTCATCCATGTCCTGTATGGCACAGATGAAGCTCTCTCTGGGAGTGATTTTTTGGAGCAGTCAGCAAATCTTTTTTGCAAATGGCCACTGATGTGCAGTCGCACAGGAGACGAGCTTTAGTAAAAAGATGTATCAGACAGAAGCGTCAGCCAGCTGTTCTGAGCACTGGCAGCATCAGCCCTGTTTCTCAGATCAGAGCCCAAACTGGACTCCTCGCTCAACCTCAACAAGTGGCTCTGGTTCATCCAGGAGGAACTTCAGAGCAGTTTCCACCACCTGTGGTATTAATGCTGCAGCGGTCTGCTGAAGCGTGGCGAGCAGCGCTAGTTTGGAATGCTTCCTGGTGTGAGAGCAAGCAAAAAGAGTAGAGCAGCTTGTTGGACAGGTGGCAGAGGAAGGTCTGTGCATCCTGCTCTGCTTTTGGGTGGATGACAGAGAAACATTTGAAGACCCTCCAATGTGACCTTCATATGGTAGGAAGAGAAGAGTGAGAGACAGTAGGATGTTATTGCTGTAACATTGTAAAATGCTAGATTCTATCTATCTAGATTCAGCTGGGCATTTTTTTAAGTTCCTCCTAGAGCTCTTGCACCATCTGATTTGGACAGATAAGCCTCGCTGCGGTTCAGCCTGTGCATATCACTCATTGCTTGGTCTTAACAGGAAAAGGTAACACTTTGTTACATGTCTGTAATTTACTAATAATTCCTGTAATTTGTACCTGAACTAAGGAAAAATAGTACAATTTTTAAAGAAGTCCTCTTTTATAAATGGTAAAAAGTACAGCTGGCTGTATTAATGGTCAACCAAGCATTTAGTAATGCTATAAAGATGAACTAAAAACCATTCTCCATCTCCTAAGTTCAACAGGAAGAATACACAATGGAAGTGTTGGACATTGTTGGACAAACTGGTTGGAAACACAAATGCACACTTCATCTAATCTGGCTATGGATCACTAGATCATATGCATTTGGGTCAAAAAAGAAGTCACCAATGTATAGTTTGTCACAAAAGTAACGATGCTTTAAGGAATTTCAGGTTGTCTTTTCTGATGAAGAAAAGATTAAAAAGACTCAATGATGATAAAGACTCACATACCTGGTACAAAGAGAAAGTTGCCACAGTTGCGGAGGATGTGCTTTCAGATGGTTTGAAAGCCGATTGTTCAGTCAACAAAGACAGAGAAAACAAACCCGTTGCTCTGGTTGACAGTGTGTTAGGAATGTACAGTAGACCATCGTCTGCGTCAGAGTGATGCAGACGATGGTCTGCTGTACATTGAATCTACATTATTCTTACTATAAATGAAGTGGCTAGTGATTACAGACAAATAGTTAATATGACTATCATTTCTAAATTAAACAACCACTAAGTATTAAAGAGAATGAGTATAGTGACCCACAATGTAGAATCAAGATGCTAACTTCTTTCATTTAGGTATTTCATTAGGGTGACCATATGTTCTCTTTTTCCCAGACATGTCCTCTTTTGGGACCTGTGTCTGGCCGGAATTTCTAAATCACCCAAACCATGAATGGTTATGATTATCAGCACTTAGCATTAACAAATTAGAGACTAACCACCATGTAGACCATTTTTCGTGCACAAGGATTAAATGAATGAGGTCAACATACCATAATGAAACTACTGTAACTGGAATTTATATATTAGTGGAAAGCTATGTAGGACTCTATTATCTGAAATCATAATGAATACACTAACATTGGCCATAATCAAATCTTGTCAGTGTCAAACATAGGTGTTAGCAATCTAGAAGACCACATGTAGACCCTATTAAGGTTCAATAACATAAACAAACAGCTCAGTTGTCAGAGAAGAATCTGGTCCGACTCACTTTGCTACCCAGCTCACCAGATATTCAGCTGGTTAGCATCCCATAGACTCAGCTAATCAGAGCTCCAGAGACTTTGTTCCCCAGCATCACAGAAAGTCAGCTGTTTATGAAACTTAGCTGATCGGCTCCAGAAACTCTGTTGATCAGTGCTTAAGTGACTTTGGCAACCAGGTCACCGGACCCAGAGGCTGTGCTGCCTAGCACTCCAGAGACAATGTTGTTCAGTACCAGTGAGGTACCACCAGTCCTACTGGTTCCCAGTCAGCGGTCTGGCCGACTCTTGTTTCCACTTGAGGTCTCCAGTTCTGCTTCAGTCCTGCCTTCAGGGCATCCTCTTGAGGCCTCCTGCTCCCCCAGCCCTCAGGCCGAAGTCTTTTGCACAACCCTGTTCTTCTGTTCCTAGGCCACTTGTCCCCGAATCCCTCCTCTGGACCTCCCTCCATCCACTATGGTTCGACTCAGACTTTTTTCACCTGCCCCATTCTCCTGCCTTTAAATCTCTCCTCTGGACAACCTCCACCCATCCTGCTTGGAGTTCCTGACCAGAACTCTGGAATCTGCCTCTTGGGGCAGCCCCTCTCTTCAACCACACTGTCACATGCGGCCCTCTGGATTGCTCTCTGTCCCTCTTTCTGGCTCCCCAGACCGGCCATCCTCTAACTCTCCACCAGATGCCCTCGAATTTTCCCCACCCAACTACACACCTGTTCCCAACTTCCCTCATCAGCCCTGCAGGTGCCTGGTCTACTCCACCCATTCCTCACCTGCAACTAATTCCCTCATCCGCCACTCAGCATATACCGATTCACTTCTCTTTCTCGTTGTCAGTTAGTCCTGTTTGCTAACTGCCTGTTTTGCTATGTTCCAAATTATTTGTTAGATTTGCTGTTTCCTTTCCTGGACCTGTAATTGCCTGCTGCTTGGTTGTTGCTTGCCAGCCTGTGTACCTGCCTACCTACTGATCTACCTGCCTCACATACATTTAAGCTCATTTATGGACAATAAAATCCTTCAACTGCACCTTATGTGCCTGTTCTGTCTGTGTTTGGGTCCCATCCCCACTGCCTTGGCAAGCCCACCCATGACAGGGACTGCACAGAGAGAGTTGATAGCTCCCTAGTGGCATTTTTGGTATGATCTAAAACATCAAAGTGTAGTGAAAGCTGTTAACTGTATTTCAGATATGTTTCATTGATTCCAAATTAAAATGAATATATATACACTGTATATCACAAGCCTCATTGCAGCTGCATTAATAAACCACTCATGTGTCTCACTGATGGCTCAAGTTGGTTGTTGTGATGTCTGTAGGCTGAAAATAAAGTGATCTGTCATAACACCAAGCCACAGTGCAAATGAGGAACTATAAAGATTTTTTTTTGTTTTTGGAAAATGTCATGTTCAAGTCAGCTTTGTCTCTGAACAAAGCTGCTTTATGAAACCATAACCAAGTATATTTAAATAAAATGACAACAAAGGCTTTAAAGGTAACTGTATGTTTATTTCACTCTTACTTTATTCTGTGATATAGTCAATGTTCTCCTGTGCTTTTTTTAAATACAACCACTTCCATTTGAGTCCATTTCCACTGACTTCCCATGTGCAATAAATAGTCACAGAGCCCTCCATAAAAGAGTAAAAAAGATATAATGACCACAAAAACGATATAAATAAACAATGATACTAAACAGCAGAAGACATTGCAGCAGTATAAGCAGTGAAATTTAGGCCATAAAAGCGAATCGTAAAATGGACAAATGTTTGGACATTAAATCATCATTATCGAATAAAATTGTGTATGAAAAAGTAAAGGAGAGCCAGACGGGAGTTGCACATTTCAACAATCACAGTTAACGTCCACCACCAAAACTGACAAAATATCCGGTAAAATCTTTCAAACTAAAACTTTAAAAGGACCGATGCATGAAATCCACATGTTGCGCAAACAATAAAACTTTCCCCCTTAAAATCACTAGTAATCATTCCACACATAGGGTATTGCATTGGAGCTTCTTCATAATATTTATAACAGAGTGTGTGTATATAGTACTAGTAAATAGCCCAATGAATCATACGGCACAGTATCCAAGTGCTTTATACACTTTAACTTTAATAGAGATTTTTTAAAAAACTACACAATTATTATGTAAACTAAAGGTCCACTTACTCATTTTTTACCCCGGAGCTTTCAACCGCAGTGACGGTGTTCCTCGGCAGATGGAGTTTGCTCGGTTTTCATGGAGATATCTTACATCTTATCTTTGGTTTTAAACTAACTTTGAAACGCGTCGTGCTTTTAGTTTGAAGGCAGACTTGTTGACTTCCGTCTGGTTTGACGCTGGGCTTGTAGCGTCTGTAACCATCAGAGACGGCGCGTGCAGGCTGGCAGGCAGGCTGGAGGAGCAGATCGCTGAGGGGCGTCCTGACAGTAGGTGGGGAACCTGTTCACCAGCTCCACGCGCGTTCCGCTCCGCTCCGCCGCTCCACGAGCTGTGAGCAACTCGGGCACCAAACTCGGACACAAAGCTCGCCCTTGATTCAAAAAACTTTTTGTTTTCCTTCAGAGGAGCAGGGGGGGGGAGGACATCTTCGCTGCCCGTGCGCGCTGGCGATGTCCGGATCGTACTGCAAAAGTTTGTACCCGTTCAGCGGGGAGCAGCACCAGCAGGGACTGAGCTTCGAGGCTGGGGACGTTATTAAGGTGGTCCAGGCTCTGCCCGGAGGCTGGTGGGAGGGCGAGAGGGATGGAGCTAGAGGATGGTTCCCTTCAAGTTATGTCCAGGTGTTGGAGGTAAGGGATTCTTTGTATGAGCCTTAATTAGAGCTTCACTGGGTGTAAAATTGCTGAACTGACTGACCTTTTGACTTTGTAATGATGTTGTGCTCATGAAAAACCCATTTTTCTTCAAGTGAACTGTTTATTCTCTCTCTGACTCAGTCACGTGCACGTTTTCTTCATGTCACTTTTGAGGACATTAAACAGAAGGTGAGTCAGGGCGGCTGTGGCTCAGGGGGTAGAGCAGTCCTCCCTTTATCAGAAGGTTGGCTCCCCCAGTCAGCATGGCAAGACACTGAAGCCTAAATTCCATGCATAAATGTGTACGAATGTGTTTCTGTGTCTGGTGAGCAGATGGCACCTTAGCCTCTGCTCATCAGTGTGTGACAGTAAAGTGGTTGGATTGGGAAAGAATTAGAAAGGCGCTTTAAAACAAACTATTTACTTTTTCCTGAAGACTTAACCTAACCCAAACTTTAACCGCTGGCCAAAAATCATCTTTTCTCCAATCGGGGACGTGGCTTTTGTCCCCTAAATCGACAAGCCGTCCCCGATCAACTGGTCTTTAGTCTCAAATGTGTTCAGTAAGGTCCCGTAAGTCAGACACACACACACACACACACACAAAGTGGCAAGAGTAAAAGATTCAGACCGGTCACACTCTCAGCATTGACAGATGCACTAATGAATCGTTTTCCCGAGTTATCAGATTAACTCTAACCTTCCCTCTCTGCCTGGCTGAGCGGCCGACTGGTCGCACACTTCCTCATTCCACACGCATTCCACTGAAATTCTCAGGTCTCCTCTCTGTGCGCCTGAATGCACAGGGCGTGCAAGCTCCCTCTCTCTCTTCACGGTCAACCCATCCCTCGCCCACCCTGACCCTCTCTGGCTCGACCTCCGAGTTCAGACACTGCTGCAACTTAGACAATATCTCCAGCTTCTTTCTTTCTTCCTTTTTAATTTGGCGTGCTTGGCTTGCTGAGTGAGTGTGTGGTTGAGGCGGTGACACCCACCCAGTGTTCTGACAGTTTGCTATAATCAGCTTGTATCCAAAAGGGACAGACATGACTCCAGCATTCTCGGCTATGGCACCCAATGCTGCCATCTTTATCACGTCCTCCCTCTGAATGTGAGGAGATATAAAAAGTAACATGATTTGTGCGCCGGTGACACCAGAGCGATGCCTCCTGATCACGGCCCTGTGCTGAAGACCCCGCAGCAGAAAACAGTTCAAGCACAACATCCCCTATCTTATCCAAGACCAGTTTTGAGGAATTGTGTTGACGGGCGGGGTAGCAGGGCGGCGCAGGGCGTGGAGAGACTGTTGTTTAAGCTTCACCAAGCATCCAGCCTGCAGAAGTGTTGAAGGTCTGAGCGAGAAGCTGAACTTTTAGAGGACTGCGGGTCTTGACCTGTCTGTAGTGGGGTCAAAGGAAAGTGTCGCCTATTCATTGATTCTGTTTCAGCAGTTGGTTCAGTGTTATGAATAGTAAAGTGAACAGAAAGACAATTCAGTCTCAGGCTATGCTTAGGTATGACAAAGAAAGGATAAATTGATTGATTAGTCAACAACCATTTTGATAATCGATTTTCAAGCAAAAAAAGCCAATCTCCATTATAGCGAGACCAGTAAATCAGCCGTGCTGGTGTATTGGCTTCTATCACCTTACCATAGATATATCATCTGTTTATTCCATATTTATATATTTTTAAATCTATTTGTCAACTGTATGTCTAGCACCTAATCACCATAGCAAACTCTTTATCCATGTAAAATGCTACTTGGCAATAAAGCTCTTTCTGAATCTGAAATCGGTATCAGTTTCCGTTACATGTAAAGAGAGCACAGAGCAGTTTATTGTTGCACTGAAAAATGTTTCACTCAGCGCATATTGTTATAAAATATAAGAAATTAAATTTTTAAGATGTAAAAATTGCAAAAGGAAAAGACAGCGGCCAGTGTATTGTTTTTTTTTATTATTTGTAACTCATAAATTATTGTCCTTAACAATCCAGTTTATAGTTTCAACTCTAATGGAAAGTGGTGCTGAAAAGATTGCTCGAGTGGCAGAAAATGAATCAGCAACAAGTTTAGTGATAATTTTCAAGCAAAGATTCCCTTGTGAGGATTTGCTTGGATTTGGGAGTGTTGGTCGGACAAAACAAGACATTCGAAGTGGAGATAAGATTAGTTTATTTCAAATTTGAAGGTATTAGCGGCCAGTAGGTCGCAAGAACTTGCCGTACAAAAAATGTCAAAGTTGTGTCTCAAGTATTTTTGGGCTGTACATCGTTTTCCCCCTAGAAAACAAGACAAGTTCATTGTTCTACTGCAGAATGTTCCGCTCAGTAACTATTGTGTTCCTAATTCTTAAAAGGGGAAAAAAAAGTTTGTGTTTATGTAAAAAAAAATCAGCCAATATATTGTTATCACATTTTTTATAACTCGATAGCATTGTCAGCCTCAAAATCCATCTGTCAGTCAATTTGAGGAGGTCGCCTTAAGCTCTGGTGAATGCGGCCAGCATTTTGCCCACCAAATGTTGAAACAAATTGATTACTGTGGTTTGACGAGGGAGGAAAAAAAAGGAAACTCATTGTCCACTTACTAGCTATTTAGAGTTTTCAACTGCATCTCATGGTCTTCCTCAGCTGAAGAAGTACATGACGTCTCTTCAGTTTATCTATAGTAGGTTGGAAGCCTCGGAAAAAGGTAAATTGGACGTTGATTTACTAAAACTACTGTTTTCAGGGTCAACCTTTCACACTTGGCCCTTCAGCTACTCTAAATGATGCAACAACAACATTCTTGTCTGATGTTGGGTCTGACTTATAACAGATTCTCATCAATTCCACGCGAGCTCCCACTGGGGGAAACTTGCCTCTGTGATCTGCAGCCTGTGTCGGATGTTTGTGGTGTTGTGGGTTCAGATCTCGACTCTCACGGCTAACCAATCTTTCTTTTCACTCTCTTCTTCGCTGTTCTCTGCACTCGGGTGGAACCTTCCTAAAAATAAAAGTAAATTGATTTGCTTTGCTGGCTTTACCTGTTCTACCAGGCAGTTAGCTGTTTCTCCCTATTTCCAGTATTTGTGCTAAATAAATAAAAAATAATATAATAATGCAAACATGAAAAGCCAAAACTATTTTAAGCGTGACTGTGGAAAAAGTAGTAGTAGACAAAATGATCTTAACTCCAGGTCCTCTTTCCTAGCTTTTCTACAGCATCTAATAAGCAAGTGAAATCTCTGGACAAAAGCCAGCAAGGAGACATTGACTTGAGTTATTTTGTCAAACTACTTTATTAGATTTGAAATAACAGGTATAACTGAGACCCCCTTATTGGTTCATAGTATTTGCTTGTCGGGCTTCAGTGCCAGTACATCAGAAGTTAATCTGGGATGAAGAGATTCACCTCCTACTTTTTGTAGGTAGAATTACTCACAGTGAAACTGGTGGCTTCCCCCACTCTTTGAATGTGTCATCAGTAGGTTGATCAGAAGTGTTGCGGGGGGAGCTGGCTGGCACAATGAAATGACTGATGGTGAAACAAAAAACATGTCGTTGTTTCCTCATTCTGGTCATTTATTAGAGCCCAGGGGGGTGCTCTTTAAAGAAATCACTCCTGCGGGCTGTTACGCAGGAACTCGGCTGCCTTACTTTCATAATTGTAAATGCTTAGAAAGTCAGGCTTACAGGGATTTGGAAGCTGGCACAGTAAACAATGCAGCTCTCATTCTGGCTCTGTTGTCATCTTCAGTATTGTGGCTTGGTTCCACAAACGGCTCCATTCTTCCAAACATAATAAATCATTCCGAACCTGTTGCCTCCACCAAGTTAAACTTTGGAACTTTTGAAGGAAGAAATGAGAAATAATTCTTCTTCTTCAAAGTTTTGCTTCTTACTTAATCTGATTTAAGAACTTGAAGCATATAATGGCTAATGTTAGCAAACTTTACATATTGCTGTTATAGCTATCATTACTGAGTCAGTTATGGAGCCTTACAGCTCTTCTTCACTGTTTTAGCTTTATCCAATCTATTGTGGCCATACAAGCTACAAAGTCCTCCTACAGTGTCCTTCCTTTCCTCCCTTCCTCTCATCCCCCTGAGTCTCTTTCCAGGTAATGTTTTGAGAAAAGAACACTGTGACCTCTCTTCTCAGTGGGCATCAGATATGAAATGAGATCCTGAGAGTGTGTGAACTGTATTGTGTGAAAGGTCCTCTCATCTACTCCAGGAGAACATTGTATTTCTTGAGCCATCATGACAACCGCCGGAGCTTGATGAATCATAGCCAGTTATATCAGTGTCTGGCTCATTAGTGCTGCTCACTGCTCACCTAATGAGGAGGATACGAAAAGAAACAAAAGGGAGTTAAAGCAGCAGCTAAAAACCATCAACGGTGACTCGGTTGCCATGACTTTCTGCCCGATGCCTCTGTGATGTCACCCAGCGCAGTTCAATGGAGGATATTGTCCTCAACAGTGTTTGGAAGCTTTTTATCAGCAAATGAATTGGAGTGAGTCATTGCTTCATTCATTCGATCAGCCTGCTTGCTTGAAAATAATTTGTCAGCCAATCTGTGGTGTTTGTCTTCACTGTTTCCAGATTGTTTAAATGCGAAGCCGAGCCTGGCTCTGTGTTGCTGCTCTGTTACTCTATCATTCCATGGAGCAATGCCTTATTACCGCGATCCACCTTTTTGTGATTCAGTGGTAGTTTTTATCTACGTCAGAGAAGGTATTTCTTACACCTTACTAGCAACAGGATATCTCATGAATTCAAAATTCTGGGGACAGGTCGAGACTTTGACCTAGGGACAATTGATTCCACTTAGGTATTTCCACCATTCTACAATTTCTATTCTTAGCAACAACTATGAAACAAGTAGAAATTTGATTCCAAACCTCGGAGGCTGGTTTGCCAGGTCAATAAATATCTGGTTATAGGGGCTGATGTCTTTGGAGACTGGCAGAGTGAAACGTCTGCAGCACCATTATGCATGTCCAC